CATGTACATATAAAGCTAATGGCATGAGTTAGCAAAAAGGTTGCATTATGTCAACAGCACTAGCCTAGTGTTTTTGCAAGTGTGATGATAGGACTCCAGAAGTTTCTGGCGGCGTCGAAGTATTATTGCAATCTTGGTGGAATTCAGAGGTAAAAAGGTTCTACTCCTTTTATTCTGCTCCTTATTTTTCCTGGACAAATCACAGTGATCGCTCGAATTGCCCACTTGAGCTTTTTCCAGTAATGCATTTCACCACAGTCGGGAGCACGAATATTAAATCGTTGATACTGCGATAAATACAAAACATAATGTACAAAAACACGAACTTTTTTTTTGAAAAACTAACACTCAGCCGTATTTCTCATGTTATTAATTATGATATAAAATTTGGTAGCCCAATGTAGTGCTGAACAGGAATGTCTACGAGTTAATAGACTGAGAAATTTCCATTCATCAAATTTTTTAACATAATTTTGTATATTTGTCACGATTAATAACCCTATTCTAAGGTAAGTGTGAGGCAATTCTATATTCGTTTTAGGCCTGCTTGTGATACTGATTTTATTCTACTGCAAAACCCCTAATCAGTCTTTTTTTTCCGAATTTGCGAAATCAAAGAGAAGTTACTCTGAGTATTCAGTGGCAGTATGCAGCTTAGGACCGAAAAGTCTGGCATAGCTGTATGCAGCATTCGCCACATTCCAGTAATATCGCTGCAAAATCAGATTCCTCACCAATTGTCTGGATGATCTTGGTCAAAAAAAAAACTTCGTAAATGGAGCTGTTTTTTCAGATCTAGCTGATATCGTTCTCTAGCTAACTGTAAAGAACCTACTTCAGCACCAGATTCTGGCATGAAATAACAAATAATTCGTATGAGGAACAAGATTTGTCAGCCAAGAAATTAGCAGCTTATGATATCCGTTCGGAAGTTACATACTGGCTATCAAAATTAAAATTTTAGCATTGATTTGATCTTTTTCATTGCTATCCCAGCACAGCTTGCTACAATCAAAACTAAATTTTCTGATTCGCCTTTGATCTCAAGCGC